CACTCACAATCCGCACAAACCAACCATCGCACAAACTCTTCCCACTCACAATCCGCACAAACCAACCATCGCACAAACCAACCATATTGAGACCCAATGCGGTTCAATATTTCAATGTGGCATCCGTGGGGCGGGACCACAGTGAAATATTGAGCCACATTGGGTTTCAATATGCCGGATCCAAGATCCAAGATTGCACCGGACTCCTGGGAGGAATCTTGGATCACGGATCTTAGGTACACCATATTGAAATTCAATATGGCCTCAGTATTTCAATATTGCGGATCCAAGATCCAAGATTCCTCCCAAGAGCCCTGTGCAATCTTGGATCTTGGATCTTGGATCCGCCATATTGAAATTCAATGTGGCTCAATATTTCAATGTGGCCTTCCGCGGGGATTCAGCAATCCAGCCGAAACAGCTATCGCTCCCTTGAACACTATGCCTGCCAGGGGTCCAGGGGTTCAGGGGTAGGGGTTTGGGAGTTTTGGGGTTTTGGCATTTAGGGGTCAGGGGTTTGGGGTTCTTGGGGTCTAGGCGTTTTGGGTTGTTGGGTTTTATGGGGTTTAGGGGTTTAAGGCTTTAAGGGTTTGTGGGTCAGGGCTTATAGTGGCTATTGAAGCACGCCTCACAGACCTTCATATGTCTTCATGGTTGTTCATGTTCTTCACGCATGAACAACCATAAACAAGCCATGAAGTTCTGTGAATTGGTCAATTGGTGTGCTTCAATAACCACTAAGCCCTAATCCTTAAACCCGTGGGTTTCGGAGACCCGGAGACCCCCCTAAAGCGATAAAGGCCGAAACCCCAAAACCCCGAAACGCCAAACGCCTAAACCCTAATCGCCGAAATCCCGACGAAACACAAAAACCCAATGCCCTTAAGGCCTTAAACGCTGTAGGTTTTAGGTTTTAAGTTTACACAAATCAACTGTTCCTTCTCGATGTATCAAGAGACTAAAACCCCAATCCCCTAGACGAAACCCTGCTCACCAACCGATGTAACAGACCTAAATATGTTCATTAGGGGTTTAGGGGTGTAAGGGTCAGGGCTTTAGGGGTTTAGGGGGCGTTTAAGGGCTTTAGGGTTCGGGGTTAAGAGGTATAGGGCTTTCAGCACTCACAACTGGGACGAGGTATAGGGCTTTAGGGAGTTGTGTTGAAGGGTCCGAGGGTTTAAGGGGCTAGAGAATTAGGATTTAGGGGTCTAGGGGTCTAGCGTCAACAAGTTGGGGCCTCCGAACTTTTCATAAAATCCATAGATTTTTTGTTTACAAACCAATGAAAAAATCCATAGAAGTCACTAGAAAAACCACGATTGAAATCAATAGATTTCAAAACGTAAAATCAATAGAGGCCAATAGCAATAGCAACAAATGGACGAATCGCTGAATATTTCCTCAAAATTGATAGACGAATTGGTGTGGGTTTTCTTTGTAGGCCGAAATAAAGAAACAAGCGTGTGTCCTCTGGGGAAGGCCCGGAAGCCCAGGTCGATGGACTGGCGTGGCATACCAACAACCAGAAGCCATTGCCCGCGCACAGGTTTTTCGGTCTGGCTTCGCTTATTTTTGAAAATGACCGCTGAAAAACGCTCTCTGATGCGCAAGAGACCCCATGAACAACTCAATGTTCAAAAGACTAATCCCGCCCCGACCGACCGAGCTCGTGTTTGCAAGGTTAGACATGGTCTTTAACGTTTATTTGTCTACGGGAAATCTTTCAATGGCCCTAACATTCTTTGTGCTTTGGATGAGATCATCTGCGATAGTGAGTTCCTATTTTTAACAACCCAATTTGAACCATTTAAGCCCACAAAAACGATTTACACCTGCCATTTCGAAAAAACAGCTTTCACAAGGAGCTCGCGAAATTTAACAGGGCTAAGTGTTGCACGGGCTAACTGTTTTAGATTAGTTTTCAGGGGGGCTTTCGGGTTAACTGTTTTAGGTTAGGGGGCATTCGGGCTAACTGCGTGAGATTAGGTTTCCAGGGGGGCTTTCGGTGTGCAAGGTCGGAGTGCTAGGTTCAAGAGCTTGTTGTTTCGGGTTGTAGCTGGTAGACTGTCGAAGACTAAAAAAGCACAGCAAAGAGCAAACAATCATGGATCTTTAGGGGGGGTAGCATATATATATATATATACATATATGTTGGGGATGTGCACGGCCTGACGCAACGAAGCTACGACATGACGGGGGACGCATCGAATGGCCACGGATGTGTACCTGCCAATCATGCTTCTGACATGTTAATTTGCAAGCTGTGGCTCACACTCGTTGTTGCTCATAACATATTACGGAACAGCCATCATTTCTGACGCAGCTGAGCTGAAGCCTTTGCTCTCGCATTCTGCGACCTTGTTGACACACTTCATGGTGCAGCATGTGGGTCATCCGACAGGCAGCATGTCAAGGAATCAGGTGCACACCTTGCAATTGTGAGTACTTGCAACTTGCGATGTAGGTGTTCCTGCAACGTTGGTAACCGATCATGGTGACCAAACAACCTTCTATATACTCTATGGTCCATGGTTATACGGTATACGGCTATACGTTCCACATCATATCCGTCAATGACGGCAGACTATGATAGACTGAGTGGCACATCGATCACCACAATCACCAGATCAATTCCACAAAGGAGTAATTCAAAATTTAAATGCCTGTGCATGTGCACATGTGTATCCGCAGCCGAGGCACCGATACAGCTCCGCGGCAGGCTCATTCGCCTCGCCGTGGCCGAGAGTCAGCACAGCTGCAGTTTTTCCGTCCTCCAGTGCACTCATGAGCCTTGGGGCTTTGGGACTCGGATGCTACAGCCGCAGAAGTCCATGGCTCAAGGTGAAGGTCAGGCACAGACCCGGGACGATTCCGATGCAAAGCCCCAAACTACGACCCGGGTCCGGCAAACCTTAACGCTGGAGTATGCCAGGGCTGCCACCTGCCGAGGCAGAGATTGGATGCTGACTTCGGTATGAAAGAAGGGTAGAGCAGAAACATCAACAACCAGCCTGCAGAGGCATGCATCCCCTTCAAGCTGCCATCCCGAAACTCCCAATCACTTCTCCTGGACTCCCTCAGCGCATGAGGCATTTCACTGGGACCAGACCCTCGCCCCACCGAACTGCTCGGGTCGCAGCACTTCGACAAGCGGGACTTGACACGCCAGCAGATTGTCGTCGGTTAGAAGTGGACTACCAGGGCGACGGGAATCTTCGTGTGCCCCTCTTGGACGTCAAGCTCCTAACGCTTGGTGAACTTTTACGGCCACTCTCCGGAACTCCCTGGTAACTCGGAACTCGCTCAACTCAGGCTTCGACAGATGGTGCAACCAGCCCAGGAGTCACCAACACCAATCTGAGGGACCCACCAGGAGCAGCTTTCCAATGCCGCGCTTGCGGAATGAGTCGTCGGTACACAGCAACCTTTGCGCGAGAAGTGATGGTTATCGGAAGAAGGGTCCAGGTCCTCATTCATGCATTCACTGCTTCTCCACATCTCTCACTCTGTCTCTCTTAGTGTTCCTGTCGCTGTGTCCAAGAAGCTCCACAAGAATCCAAGCATCCGGAGCTGGTGCCCCTGGCATCGTGCGTAAGCAAACTTGCGTGATTTGCAGCTCAGAGCCACAACCGAACAACAAGTCACACATGACTCTGCCGGCTAGTCCGGTCGTAGATGGCCGTGTCGACACCGATGCAGGCTGCAAGCAGCCACATTCCCTTGCTCGAACCCCACAAAGTCAACCTTGAAATCACGCCTTGTCTGCCGAGAGGTTGCAGGTGATCCGCCTTACCTCGAAAGCCAGTCCCCATACTCCCCTCGATTCAATGTATGCTTCTGCGCCAACGCAGAACTCCGCGCCCAGGTGGGGCCCCACCCGAATCCCTCGAGGAGCCCTGTAGACGTTGGCGAACTAGTGCTACACCGCTGCCCAAGTCGACCAGGACGTGCCGCCAGAAGTCGTCATGTGCGGAATGCAAGTATCCTCTGCTTCAGGAATTCAACGGGCTCTCGGAAGACAGATTTTTCAGACAGTCAGGGCATTTAAGGGTGTCCAGAAGCATGCCGAAGCCCCAAACCAGTGACATGTCGAACTTGACGCCACTGGCATTCAAGTCTCGAAACCAAGACCACACCCTCCACCTCGAAAACCTCGGCATCAGACTCTCGATTAACTCGAAGCAGCTCCAGAAGATCAGCCCAACGAGTCGACCACCTTGGTGCGTTTCGACCACAAAGTTGCAGCAACTACTACTACTGCTACCACTGCCACTACCACCACTACCATGACTTACCAATGCCATTTCAACTATCACTGCCACCAACACTTCCACTACCGCTGTTGCCATTAATCCTAGTCCTACTACCACCAGCAATTTTCACGACCACCGCCCACACCCCGTCCCACCACCGGTATTGCTCCACAACTTCAGAAGCACTGCAATTTCCACTGCCAACCACTGCTCTTGCTCCTACTGGCGCACGCACCACCACCACCACCACCACTACTACTGACAGCCTGCTCCTGTGACCCCCTTAACCGCCCTAAAGCTTCAAAAGGCGGAAAAGTACTTCTACTTTAGAAGAGCAGGCGGGCGACTACTACTACTTTACAGAAGCAGGCGGGCGACTACCACTACTTTAGAGGAGCAGGCGGGCGACTACTGAGACTAATACTAAGACCGCCATGCCAGAACCTGAGGTTTGGCCGGTCAAGAGAAGCCCAGCCAAGCCAAGCCAAGCCATTTTAAAAGAGATTTCCTTTCACCATTGTGACAGAGGAAAACCCTATCTAACAATAAGACCCTATCTAACAATAAGACCCTATCTAACAATAAGACCCTATCTAACAATAAGACCCTATC